TGTTTCTATGCAGATGGACCGCAATATTTTCCCCCTATTTTATCTTGTTCACACCCAAACTTTGACAGACCAAATTTGATTCGATTTGAACTCTGTCAACTAGATAAAATCACAGTTGCACAGATTTCTTGACAATGATCATAGCTCAATCTCAGTCAAATATGAAAAATAAGGTAACATAATTTCACCCTAGGATGTATCCTGTGTAGGTACAAAAACAACTGCTAACATCATACAAATCGAATCAAATATGATCCATCTGATTCAAGTGTAGACACACCCCAAGGCTCCTCTCAATCATAACGTGCCCAGTTTGAGATTAGAACCCACTTACTCTTCAATAGTTTCATATCAAATGTGAAAACTCTTTGGTTTCCAAGCAGGAAGATAGTTTTGGGTGGGTGGAAACTCGAAGGTTGCGAGATGAAGGATAGAAGTCGGTTCTGATGTTCTTGATGACATTGTTGGCGGACCCCCTAGATGTTATCAGCCTTGTCAGTGAATTATTCATTGCTCATAGTTATTAAAATTATCACTTACAACTTGACAAGCTCCAAGATAAAATTTGTTTTGACTTACACTTGTCTTGGGTTTGAAAGAAAAAAGTTTTAAGCAGTATTGAGTGATGTATTTGTTATAAAAATATGTATTTTTTTTATGGTCTCTAGGTCTCTTTGGCTATGGTTTATTTTTCATTCCTTCAGCCATATTTACCAGCTAGCCAATCAAATATCCAATTTCATCTCTCCAAATGTTTTCAAAGAGAGCAAAATGTGTGTAAAAGCAACAAGTTGTTTTCAATGCATTTCTTAAAACCCAAAACACATGATAGCAGTTCCAAGTCCTACAAAACTGTCCGTGCAAACCTGATTTTATCAACTTGTGCGTCATTTCTCAGTTATTAAAACTGTGACTGATTAGTTCCGCCAGATCCTACAGGAGAGATATGACATCTTTTGTGGCATGGTAATCATATGGAAATTACAAAAGTAACAAGTATGTACCACAGATTCAACAGTCATCCGCAATGGGCCCAAGAGAAGGTGGGGTTTCTTTCCTGATTTCTGAAAACTTCTAACTTTCACCAAGTCACTATAAAATCAAGTTGTCAGCCAGATCATGGCTATCAAGTTTGTCCCTTTTTTAAAAACTTGAAGGCAGTCTGCTACGGTGATCGAAATTCATCCATGGTGGGGTACTAATCAGCATATTTCTTCTAAGACGTTATCTGGAGTATGCATCTCTCCACCTCCTCAGCTGCTACATGGGTTATTTCAAGGCAGACCAGAAGGAGATAAGGTTCATTATTCATGCAAATACCCATCCTCCTCCAGAACCCCCTGCTCTCTCCGTCATCCTATCTCTGCGTAATTAAATGAACTGAGAACTTCTTTTATTCTCCGTGTGCGAAGTCAAAGGAAATATGATAAGTTTGTCTCTTTGGTTTCCTACCATAGATATAGCTTGATGTGTGAGAAGAATATTTTCCTCAATACTGATGGGCCACTGTCTCTCAATTTCAAAGTGTACATGAAGAAGTGTAATATTCTTCTGATACATTTTTTGGTCCAATTTCAATAAGTAATTTTTCTTCTCCAAGTTGCTGTCTGACAAGGAGGATATTGAACCTTCCAGTGTTTTGGTCAAAAATAAAAAGACATGTTTCATCAACTTAAAACAAAATGCATACACTGGGCACATGTGTGTCATAAAAATTTCACTTCTCAAATCATTTCACTTCTTCTAACTTTTTTTTTTTTTCGGAAGTCCAACTGTAACCTCTCCAGCCTTGAAATGCCATGGTTGAAAAATGAGGGGGAAATGTATCTGAAGCATGTGCGTCCAACTGTGACAGAAAAATGTGATTCTTTTTATCATGTAACTGACTCCACCGGAGCAAAAGAACATCTAAAATAACTTGATAATGGAAGGGAATCATTAGAATTAAGGAGCTGAATATCACTTCCAGGTTATTTTTTCATCTTCTTTGTTTCCTCTTACAATGGCAAACTGACTTTGACAAATGGAGAGTGCGGCCCACTGTTTAGAACATATGTGAATGGTTTTTTATTCCATGTCATCCTTCCCTGTCGTCTGCACGAAAGATAATCCTAAATCAGTTTCCTCGGGTACAATGCCCCTGGGTGAATATCCATAGATCAAGTAGGAAATAAAATCAACTACATTTTGCCCAGTTATTTTGTTGGCTAGAATCACTGAAATGTTTTATTCAGATTCCTTTGGTCAATCTTTCTTTTAATAGGAGTTTTAAAATATACCACAGCCACTTATAAAGCATAACCTTTTTGGAGGATTATTTTCCAAAGAGGGACGTTGATTTTCTCACTGTTATGATGGGAGAAAAGAAAAGCAGTTATTCCACGCAACAAAAGATGTCAAAAACACAGAACAAAGTTCTCTATGCAACAGCTCCCGATTCTCTGCGGGGACGAGAAAAGCACAGTAACAGCACCACATCATTACCTCCTAACCAACGCAGTTTACACAGCGGCTAAGAAGTTAACTGGTTAAAGAGAATGTTAAGTGATGGGAGAAAGAATGGGGCCCTCGCGTAACACTACAAATGTAAGAGGGAAAACATTGAATAATGCTCTCTGTTGAACAGTGTCACCACGTCTCAGGCTCTACAATTACGAGATCGGTTCACACACAGTTAAACAGCATGGGACTTGGGGACTACTGTATAGACCTAGGCTGAATTCATTTTTCTCGTAAGAAGCTGTACGCTGCTGGAATATTCCATCTGTCGTCTGTTCAATTAATTGACAGCAGAGGCGTATATCTATGACCTAAGGAACCTGTGTGCTTCTAAGTTAGAGGAGTTGCATGCTTTGTTTAATTGCTATGAATATTTCTCATTACAGACATAATTTTGAACAAGCGAGTTTACTGTACTGACCTATGTTGACACTATATTACGACGCTCCCCCCCCCCCAAAAAAAAATTATAAATAAAAATACAGAAGAAAATTACATACAAAAGAGAGAGTAAGTATTCTGATTCTTACAGTAAATCATCCAGTCACTGCATTATTTCTTCCTAAGCCCAGTGTTAGATTTTTGTTCCCCTTTACAATAATAATAACAATAATATGGAAGTATAAGAACTCTCCCTGTTCACCTGTCTATGCGATATGACCTCTACTCAACTTGCACTAACACCCCTCTTCTTTTAATTTGATTCTTATTACTAGAACTACCTTTCAGACAGAGAGAGGTCAAGGCATTCACTGCCAACAAGTCCTTTACACGAAACACAATTCATCGGAGTAGAACTGAATACTACATATATGACTGAATGGTCATGTTTTTCTTCTACGTCAGTGAGGGGGTTTGTCATATATGGCTGAATAAACGTATATATCTATATGAGTTTAAAGGGCCTTACATTCCTTTACCAACATCCAGGTTCTCAAAAATTATTGTAAGGCAGAATACATTGTAAGATGGAATAGTCCAGTACTTTTCCATATGAACCGTTGCTGCAGAGATATTCGGCTATATTGGTCTTACTGAGAAAGCATCCATCTATATGACAGAATACTGTATATTAATTTTTTCATTGAGGCACTTAAGATGGACGTGTAAATGATGGAGGCTTGGTCCTTTGTCCAAGAGTATGGCCAGAGAGAGATAGAGGCCTCTCTACTTCTGCCGCGCTCTTTATTATATCTTGTCTCTTTTCACTTGCAGCTGTTAGAGATGCTGTTCATTGTTTGGGGCTCATGACAGATAAATTCAGTACTAGTACATTTTTTATGATTTGGTTAAGAGGAAGGCAAATAGTTGTAATAATAACTTCTTGTTTTGAAAACTACTTTATCTTCCATTAATTTGTAAGTGATTTAAAAATGAATTCAATAAAATTTATTGCATTTTTTGTTCTTCTTGAAATATAAATAAATTTGAATTATTTGAAAGAATTTATCATCAAGCCATTGTTCTCCAATCCAAGACAGCTTGCATTCTTTCACTTTTTCTTATTCCTTCTCTTGCAATTATAAAACCAAGTTCAGAACATCTCCCGCAGCAAAATATGGAGACCATGGAATGCAGACAGACAAAAAATATTTGCTACATTTTGACAGCCCTGTGAGATACATGAATTTTTGGACGAAGACAGATATGTCACCGTCTGTCATATTTATAGGATGGCTTGTCAAAACAAGAAAAACAATGTCAAGAATAATAGGAGGACCGTCGTCATCATCAGGAGCACACGCCTCAAGTCACACACATAACCAGGGGGGAGAAAACTATGAAATTGTCACGAAGAAAATCTTCGCCTTTACGCTTCGTAGTACAATCCACAAGCTAATTTCAGTAAAATTGCCTTCATTTTCTTCCAGCCAGATCCAAATGACGCCAGATTTACCTTACAACCATTTGTATGCTCTATCCTCCAGCTAAGCAATCACACATAATTAGACTTTGGTATAATGGGGACTAGGTACAAGAAAAATGGCTGCCCCGTCAGACATGATGACCCTTTTCAATGGGGGAATCTGAATTTTGTGAATTAGTCATGAAATTGGGGCTGAATGAGATGTTGGGTAGCTAGGATATTCCTTTTGCAAAATCTGGGTTGGAAATATTTCATTGAGATTAGAGCTCAAGAAAAGGATCTATTATCTAAGCCGTTATCTAATGCCCAACAAAGTCATACATTTCTAAATCAGTGACAATATTGAAGATTATGGGTTTTTATTTATTGGCTAAAAATTGAGGTTAACAAATGCCAAAGGAAAAATAAAAGTAGCTTATCAAAAGTCAGGCCTGTGGAAAATCTACAGAAAAGTGGGGCAACATATTAAGGTAACAGTGGGCTGGTACCATGTGATTTTGATTTAGCTTCAAACACATTGTCCTGTGGCATGAACTAAGAACCTGGGCTTTTTTTTAAGGGCAGGAGAAATATTTGACTCCACGACGTCATATCAAGGATCAATCACGGTGGCTGTAATGGTAATAGTACTCACCCCGTAACCGCTAACTCCTCCTCGATGTGTCTTGTAATTTAGAGCTCCATCCACTATGGTTGTGTCTAACAAGACCACTGGAAATAGATAAACCATATATTTAAAGTCTTGTAAAGAAATAATTTGGATGATGATTTCAAATATTTGAAGCATATATATGATTCCTTGTGATTTTATTTACAATTTATTTGGAAGGGTATGCCTTTTTTCAGCTTGATACCAGAAATTTCAGAATACGATTTTTCATATTTGGCCCCTGCTTTTGATTAACCTTACTATAAAACTTCAAGAAGCATAACCATTTAATAGCATGCTATCTTTATACAACAGAAAAAGGATGCCGAAGAATAAACAAGGACCTCTAATGTGCCATTTTTGTATCCCTTTTTTTTTTTTCACAGTGTTTCGTGATCCTTATGCAAAATGGCTACTCAAACATTTTATCCAAATATTGACAATAACATGCAAGAGCAGAAATTGTACAGTACAACCAATAATCCAGGTATGGATCCAAGCCACTCAAACTCACACACACAATATATTCAACCCATTCACGCCTTCTCTCTCCTCCTTCTCATTCTATTCGTTTTTAATCACATTTAGCTTTAAACCGATTAACTATCTATTACACGATTCTAATTATCAATTCATTTTACCAATTAACCAAACCAAAATAGACCTCCCCGTTACTCTAACAATTCAAATTGCATCCTAGTTTGTCAGAAATCCATTGGGACTTTCATAATTCACAATTCCCTTTCACCTGGTCTATCACCTTTTGTTTTGCGGATTGCATTAATTTCATCATTAATCAAGTTTTGTATTGGACTCCCCGACAATGCTATCTCATAACAGCTTCCTATTCATTAATGAAACTGATTGACATAGCAAGTAGTTTTCTATACCTCCAGGCTGTTTTATGCTCCCCAGGTAGAAAAACAGCATCATCTGAGTATTAAAACCTACCGAAATCAATAGCCTCCACTGAGTAATACTGTCTTAGACTAAGAGTCACTAACACAGCCAAAAACACCTCCAAACTCCACATTTTCATCCTGAAGGCTCCAGCAAACGTTCACAAATATAATCCAACAAATGTATCCTCCTTGTTATAGTAAAGGTAAGTCTACTTCAGATGCATTTTGATTGTGAAAAGTCTCCAAAAACTCCAGTCACTTATATTTCTCCAGCTCCCTTACTTGCGCTTGCTCAAGTAGCTCTAACCCTAATAATAAACTTTATGCTGGACTCAACTCTCCCCAAGTGGAGGCTGGGAAGTCAAGCATGGAGACAATGCAGTTGTTTGATTGGCTAAAGCTCCAAATGGGGGGAGGAGAAAGGAAAAGATTTTAATCTTTAAGAGAATAGAGAGAAAGGCTTGTCCAGCTCTTGATTGAAAGGTTATCTTAAACTCTAAACTCAATAAATCCATGATGTGATGTGGCTTCTATTGTTATTCAAACCTAATTCACAAATAGTGCAACTTTAAAGCTGTGTTTTCATTGGGTGCAACATGGCTTACAGTCAATGAATGGTAGATTTAATTGCCCTGGCTGGGCAAAGACTCCATTTTCTATTCATGGACTCTTCCACTATTTGATAAAGGGGCACAAGTTACCTAATAAGCCCTTGCTTACATTAGTAGTTGCCAAACATCATTATAAAGTGTAAATGCAAAGGTTGGGTCCAACACAATGCCATGTCTGAAAGCTAAAGTGTATTACCCCATCTGAGGCGACAAATAAGCCTCTCATATTTTTCATCGAAACAATTCAGATCAACAAAAAGAACACAGAAGACCAGTTGATGGAGTGGATTTTATTGTAACTAGAGCTAACTTCTGTATTATTTCTTTGCGTTTAGTTTTCAACACTGACCCCGGGGTGACCACCATAACTGCTCTCCCCCCCCCCTTCAGTTACACCCCAACCCCTCATTCTTCCCAACAAATAACTTTTAACTACATAAAACAGTGCCCCCCCCCAAAAAAAAAAAAAAAAATTGTGCATTGGAAGTTAAATGAGTGCACAATAGCAAGGAGACCTTTCATAACAACTTTATATCTTTAATCCAATGCCAATATTTCCTTCCTTAAGGCTCAACAACCAAAGTGCAAGATTTGGTAATATTACATTTCAATATTTATCTGGGCACTTTCCAGTGGCAGAAATGGTCTGGAGTGTTATGCTAAAGGATTTCAAATGTTTCTATTGTTATTGGGGATATACCCCCACCCCACAATTCACACAGTCAGAGGCGACATCACATTTGATACCATATTAATTTCAGGGTCTTTTCTTTGATTTGATCAGATACTAGCAATCCTAGCTTAGAGTAACCCATATCAGATAGTTTGCTTAACACTAATCTAATATGCTATCAGAATACATATAGTTTCATTGCCAAATGCCAAAATCCATATTCTCCCACAATTCCACATTTTTCCTTGGTTTGATAGCAAGAATGCACATTTTCTAAATGATCAAGACCTGGCAACATAGCCATATATTTGATGCAACATTTCAATATCATATTATATTTCAAGGCTTATCCATTTATCTACAGGATACTTAGCACCGTATAAGTAATACCGAACTACCAGGAAGAAGCCATTATGATCTAATGCAGTTGGAGTTTCAATGTACTTGCAATGGCGTGTCTACCCCGGGTAGACTTTAAATATGGAGAACAATACAGGGGTTGGCCTGAATACCTGTGGACAACAAGGAGCCCTCTGATTAACCCTGGGGGTCAGTTAAATAGACTTAATGTGATACAATGGAACCATCTGTCTCTCTGGCTCGATCAGTAAAGGGAGTGGTGCTGTTACCTGTTTGAATGTGTTTAAGACGTATGCGTGTGGGGGGGGGTTGGGGTTTGAGAGTTTGAAAGATTTTTTTTCCGAATGATGATATTTAGTGGTAATACATGGGGACAAAGAGTGCGGAATAAACATGTAAGCTCTTTTTTTTTTTTCAACATGTTTCCTTGAAAAAAAATAAAATGATACTGATGTCATTTTTATGTAAGGTAAGGGGTTCAAAGCAATACAAAGATATTTCTCTTTAAAGGCTATTAAATACACAAAGGCACACAAGTTGAATTACCATATTTTCATTTTCTTAATCTTATCAGAAAAACCACCAGCAAACGCCACAATCTACACAATATCTAATGGCAACATCACCCAACAGATATCAAACCATTTCATAAACATCCCAAGCATGTAGTGATCAGACAAAGAAGAGACTTCAATAACAAAAAGAATGTGCCCTTATTTTCTTTAGGCTAACCCAATGACATGATGCTACTCTCTAGGTAAACAGTTAATATTTGCTAATCCGTGCCTGGTGTGTGTTACTGCTGCCATAACATAAAGATGATACACACAGCGCCAGTCAGCGTATCTGTTCAATACTCTATGTACAAATAGACATGGAAGTCTGTGTGTGTGTGTGTGTGTGTGTGTGTGTGTGTGTGTGTGTGTGTGTGTGTGTGTGTGTGTGTGTGTATGTGGGGGGGGGGATGGACATGTGTGCATGTGTGGGTATATGGTATATGCATGTGTGCCTGTGTTAGGATAAAGGAAAGGAAAGTAGTAAGATGGGGGCAAAGAGCAAAAAAAAAATGTCATGAAATAGGACTACACCTTTGAAATGTTATCACACAAAATAAATGTGAACATCAACTGACCATCTTTTATCAATGTCTACACAGAAAAGAGCTTAAATATGGAATCCGTCCTATATGCATTTTTTTAAATGCTCACTACGTTTGGCATGGAAAGATAGACCACATTTATTTCTAGAAGAAAGAATTGTGTGCATTTTGGTGTAGATTTTGTTAAAGCACTGAACAGGAGACATGACATACTAGTTAGTTTATCCCGATGAGGATCCGTTTGGAAGCCTGCCTCGATTCCCTTGCCATACTGACTCAGAGTACTGCTAAGGGCAACCGATAACATTTACAAAATTATCCGCCAATGTTTTTATTTCCAATATGTCCCAAATTAAGTCGAGGAATTGTGTGCTATTTCCTAACTTGCTCCATAGCCCCAACCTCTGCTAGGTTGAAATCCCAAACTTTTTAACCAAACACAATATAGGGCACATGGGTTGCCCTAATCCACTTAAAGCTGGTCCAAATCAATGAAAAAAAAATTACCAAGGGGAGCTTTTCTCTTTGTTTGGTCTTTTTCATCGTACATGATGGTGAAACTTGAGGTCAGTGAAATAATGAAAAGAGACAAGAATTGTTGGAAATTATCGAGTGTATTGGGCATGTTTTTACTTCATCAACAATACCCAAATCTTTTTAAAAATCCAAATGCAAGATTTTGCATGGATGCTTATAAATGATAGATGTAGTAATGAATCACACCATTAAAAAAATGATACTGAATATATATATTTCAATTTCGTGTTTTCAATAAATAATATCACTTTGAACCAATACATTGCCCTCTTCATGCCAACATTCAAAGGAAATTTAGTTAATTGAAATGACTCAATTTAAAAATGGGTGTGTGAAATAATCTCCTAGTTTTTCTTTCTAATTTTGCCAGCCAGAGAGGCACTCTCTTGGTATGATTCATTAATAGATCCTTCATGGTTCTATTAAACATCAAAAGAAAACCCTTAATCAATTCAAACTTGTATTAAAAGGATGTTTTTAAAAAATATCCATCTTGACCTCGTTCGCCCCTGTAATACATTATTCTCTCCATCTTGAAATATTAACTGAACTCTATCACTCAATATACACATTTGGTACACTTGTTTACAAATGCTTACAAACACCTTATTCAATGACCCTTATGTGTGCCAAAGTTTCTGGATCATTATACCAACTTCATTAGGATGTTTGCATCCCATCTTTTTGTGGTTTGGAATGGAATTTGGTTTCCCTTGTTCAACAAACTAAACAGCATTTTGACAATGGTAGTGTGCATCAACAATGAAATGTGGTTTTATTGCACAATGTCAGTGTGTCTGTCATCTATTTTTCCCCCTGAGGGTTTTTGGCTTTTTAATAGAAGAGGAAACAGGTGGGAAAGAGAGGGGGGTATTTAAGGGTCCCTTAAGGCAGATATTACCACACCAGAACAAGAAATGATTTCCAAAAAGAACTCGGCAGAAATTATGCACACTTCCTCTCCTCCATCTATTTGTTGCCCTTCATTTAATCAAGCACAAAGTGTTAATAACAACGTGTAATCATCAAAGCATGTGTTGCAATGTCTACCTGCTTTAAATGAGCCTAATTAAAGGGGCTGGTGTTTTAATTACTGTGACCACCCAACATGGCTTACTCATTCTTTTGTACCAAATTGAGGTGTTTTTGGAATGCATTAAACTTGTTCCAAACCAAGTCCAAATTCCATATGTAACGGATCCAGTCACTTTACATGGAAAACAAGTAAGCTAATCAAATACCCTTGCTAAAAATAAATCAATAAATAGAAATATTCTTCCGTTCTACCAATAACTCAACTTCATGATACTCCAGTACTCTCCTTGGGCTCAATATTTACGTTTAATTTTTTCTAAGCACTTGCATAAACAGCTTAAACTAACAACACAACTTCAGAGTGCTAAAACAAACAGCATTCCCTTTCTTTTCCCTTCAACACTCCATCTTCCACTGACACAATTTAAGTTTTTAACTGATAAATCTGCTTTTCTTTTTTAAACCGACTCCCTTCACCCCCCTCCCCCCCCCCATCCCCACCTCCAAATATACACCTCTTTAGTGGCAGGCCCCCCTCCTGACATCGAAATATAAGATACAACCTCTGNCCCCCAACCCCCCATTCAAACCAAAAAAAAACTTTTAAACGCATAAAACAAGGCCCCCCCCCCCCCCCCCCAAAAAAAAAAAAAAAAAAAAATAATAATAATAATAATAATAATAATAAATAAAGAAATTGAGAAATCTTATGCATTGGAAGTTAAATGAGTGCACAAAAGCAAGGAGACTTTTCATATCAACTTAATATTTTTAATCCAATGCCAATATTTCCTTCCTTAAGGCTCAACAACCAAAGTGCAAGATTTGGTAATATTACATTTCAATATTTATCTGGGCACTTTCCAGTGGCAGAAATGGTCTGGAGTGTTGTGCTAAAGGATTTCAAATGTTTCTATTGTTACTGGGGATATACCCCCACCCCACCATTCACACAGTCAGAGGCGACATCACATGATACCATATTAATTTCAGGGTCTTTTCTTTGATTTGATC